TTCTTTTTTGGTTGAATCTACGTAGTTGTCCAACTTTCGCTGGTTTCTTGTAGCCAGGCCGAAATTTGGGAATCATGGAAGCTAGGTGTGAAAATTGCCCCGGACATTAAAAGATTTATGTGAAAGTTGTTTGGGTTGTTTAAGTTTATATTTCGCTTTATGTTTAGTTTTTCCTGGTTTGCTTTGTGGGCTACATGTGCTGCACAGTACACAAAGCAAACATCCACACCATCAACACCTGTCCTGTAAGCAGCGAGACTGATTGTGAAATTTCAGACCGCAGTGTTTGAATGAATTTTCCCAGTTTGAAGACGCGTCTAAGGAATAGAGGGGTTGTCACATTTGCGATCCCTGAACACCCTCACCATCCAGAAGAACAAGATTGGCTTTGCAGGCCAAGTTTTGAATCTTCAAACAAAAGTGTTCAGGTTTGCACTTTTTTCTTCATTAGTTATTCTCTTTGGAAAGTGTTGAGGTGTCGAAGACCTGCTCCACTTGGTGGATACAACCATCTCGACATTGGATGTCCAAGATAACAAAATCTGGGATCCGGACGTGCTCCCAGAGGCAGCATGTCAGGTGTTTAAGCGAGTTGAGCTGGATTGAATGATTAGAATTAAAATGTGAAAGGTTGGGACTCATGATTTCAAAGCTGTGCAGGCGATTTGCATGCATTTTCATACGATTTCATACATTTTCAACAGATGTAGTTCTGGTTGCAAGGTCTTTGTGAGGATGGCAGATTTGCGGGTTCTCTATCTGAAAGGAAATCCGTGTGCCAAGAAGATACCAAACTACAGGAAAGGCATCACCGCTGTGTGCGAAAACCTCAAGCAACTCAGCGTCAAATGAGCCACCGCAAAAAATTCGGCAATAGGATCAGGTAAGGGACGGGCACCGGTTTTCAGAGGTTGTACAAACATGAGATAAGCGCTGGGACCTTCTCAAATAGCGATACCCCTTTGTGTCATACCTTTGCACATACATAATTTTCCTTCAAGCGATGCCCCCATACGTCATTTTGGTGAAAAGGTGTGGTAAGGGATTGGGCCTTACCATTTTCTTCTGACGTCCGTTTCGTGAACCTTGAGTTTCCAAGATTGCTCAAATTGTCTCAGTGAAATTCTGCCAAAATGCAAGCGGATGAGCCGCAAAGCATTGGCATCCACAAGGTACTTGGATGATCGACCAGTATTTCCTGAGGCCAGACAGCTGCACATTCATGACAAAACCTTTGCAAAGCCATCGCAATCCGTCACAGCATGACTTTTCCCTGAGTTTGCAAAGCAAGCTCCAAAGGTGTTCCTGCCACCGCTGTCAGGACAGACGAGCAGCTGAAGCTTTCAACCGAGGAGGACATTTGCCCGGTGAAATTTCAATATTTTAATCAGCAGAAGCGAATAGAAAGTACCAGTAGTACCGCACAAGGCGGTGGCGGAAGTTTCAAAAATAGGAAACCTATAGGAGAAATTGGTTGTTGTGAATCAGGGATGGCAGAGCGAAGCCACTGATGGACTGAAAGGTGCTTGATCTCTCTCACTCTTTCTCTCCCTTTCTCTGGCTATCTACCTACCTACCCATCTATTTTCTATGTATCTATCTATCTGTTGATCTAGCTATCTATCTCTCTCTTTCTCTCTTTCATCTCATTACCTATCTACCTATCTACCTATCGACCTATCTACCT